AGCCCATTCCAAACCAGGCACAAAAACAGCGGTAACTCTCCACAATATTACGGGGACCTGTCATCTTATATTGCAGAGAAGGATGTATTTTTGAGTGAAATGTTGTTCTGCAACGCATGGTCACCATGCATTAAACAATGAATCTACCGGCCTTCTTCAAAACGTAGAGTTATATTACATCGCCAGTGAAAATCAGTGATTAAATAACAGACGCAATGGCAATTGTATGGAGCGCCGTACAAAACGGAAGTACCAGTAACGGGTGAAAGAATGCCGCTAGAACCGAGGTGTTTATGCAAGATAATACCTCTATCCCAAATAGAAGCCGGTTTATTCATGTTCTTTAATGTTCATTAACAGGACGCTCTGGTTGTTGGACAATTACTGCGTAAGGGGACGGAGGACCTAGTTCGAAGCACGAATTCTGAAGTTTGAACCTGGGAGCACCTAGCTTCGAATGGAGCAGGAGTAAATGACATATGCCATACTGTGACAGAAAGCGTATGTACTTGTCACTTTTGAGACTATGTTTATCTCAAGTTATCCCTGGTACCATTCTCGTTCTATTGCGTATTAGCTGTTCAGATGTCCGAATAGCTTAATCTTTAGCTGCAATGCTCTATTGCGGTAGCTTTCACAAGAATCCACCAAAGTTCAGCGATAGAAGAATACTTGTGAAAGAGTTTCAAGAAAACTTTCAACTAGACTGTCTCATCAAAATTATTTTTCGGGTTAAGCACTATGAAGGGCATCCACTTACTTATAAATTCCACACCATCGCCCTATTTCTAAACCACTCACCTTGAATTATTTTCGGATGTTTTGGGGCAAATTATAATGAGCATCGGTAAACATTTGGACTTTTCAGGTATTTGTTCTACATTATGTGCGACAACTCTTTCAAACGATCTGAACAACCTGTCCTCCTACATTTAGTGGCACCAACTTGTTTTTTGTTGTATACCCGCGGGATAATTGGCGCCTAGATGTCTTCAACTTCAAAGTGCCACTTAACTTGTCACAGCTTGAAAGTAAGAGTAACATATGTCTTGCTTGAACCCGCTTTTGCTCTTTTAAAATGCGACTAGGGCAGATTAGCACCTAGAAATGTGCCGTAACTGATGCGTAAGCTGGCTTAGGCGTCACCATAAGTCAAAGTGCGAGCCCGCTTGCATCCGTTAAAAAATTAGGTACTTGCCTTGGAAAACTAACTTTACAGGCATCTTGCGCGTTACATCCCAAGTCCGTTCCTTTCTCCTTTGAACAACAGTGGGAATTTGGTTAAGCGCTTCTAAATGAATAAGGATTTGCAGTCCTAGTTAAGCCACATTGGGTTGAAATGGCTCGGTGTTTTGAGCGCAAATTTACTGCCCCACCTCTCGACTTCCTCTGTCCAGGCTAGAGCGATCTGGCAGTATCCCAGCTCTCGTACTTCCCTCTGGCGGCGTAGCGATTAGGCACCAAAAGGGTGCTACAGCTGAACGATAAGCCGCATTACCGTGACTCTATTAGATTTCAGGTAATAGGTAAATTCTGTTCATATGCTCATTTATGTCTGTATAGCGGAGGTGAGCCACACTAAGCTTTGGAGGAGAGCGGAGTAAACAGAAGTGAACTATACGGTTTTCGAAAGTATTCTCTTGCAAAACGCAAGCCAGTTGCGTGTCCGTTATGATCTTAGATTATAAGGCGCACCCTGAGGAAACATAAGGTGACAAAGTATGCTTGATCTTCCAGATTTAATTTAATTAAGGTCATCTTGAGGATATTGCGAAATTGGCGAATATACACTCATTTGCAAACTAATTAGGTTTTTCGAGAGACTAACATGAAACCCAGCTGATTCTCCCGTTTGTGATGATGCTCGTGGGCTGTCAACGGATTTCCAGCAACCTTATGAGTAGTACATTACAAAGATATACATGTATCGCGATATTTCAAATATCGTAGCGACTGAAACATGAGGCGGCCTGGTGCAGCACATTCAGTTGCCTGAGAACATCATAAACGAGAGATTCAGCTGGGTTCCAGGTGAGTCTCTCGAAAGAACCAAATTGGTTTGCAAATGAGTGTATATTCGCTAATTTCGTGCAATTTGGTTTCAAGTAGAACATAAGGTTGACGGAAACCCGGGGACTGCGCCTACCTGATGAGCCCCCAGAAGGGCGAAACGGGTCGTGGGCTGTCGAAGGGTTTTCAGCAACCGTATGAGTAGTACATTACGGATCTAAAATTGGAATTCTATATAGCAGACGAATGTAGTCCTCGGGAAGTACTCGTTGACATCCCCATATTGGTAGGGTTTTTGGTTGGAACTATTTTCGTGACGAATTTTTAGAGGTAGTTGAACTCAGATGAGAGTTCCATTATATCATACAGATGCGGCTGGATGATCGGCTGCGCAACTACCGTCTCTCACTCGAAAGATGCTGATGTGCGCCGTGCGCATTTTCGACGCTACTGGACAGAAATGGAGCACATGCACAGTCATTCTTGGCTACTTGTTGTACGGTAAAAAAAGATTAAAACTTGCCTCACAGTTTAAAACGCTTAAGAAATTGGTTCGTCTCAAATGTTGCCACACAGCTTTGACTAGCAGGCCACCAATATGAACTTTGCCAGAGAATACAGAATAAAAGCTCTTAATCTGTAATCCAAGTGTTTCTTAAACAAAATTTACATTTTTGCCAGAGGGATTGAGCATACGTTACACAATTGTTGCTTTCTTGATTATTCGTATGAAATCCTGTTGGTTCACCACACCACTTCCTGTCCTATCCGCCTCATCAATCATTTCCTGAATGAAAAAGTAAGACGTAATGCTCTCGAGTAAAAGTGCAAGGAGGCAAATTGGGTGGGAAATGAACTTAAAAACGAATAACTGTAACAATCTTTTATCCAAACATCACGTTAACCTCCGTGGTCTGAAATAAGAAAAGGAAGTTGAATGAGAAGAAACTGAATGGTTTGCTGACTCTGATTTCTACTACTAATCATCGTGATAAACTAGCCGGACTGTGAATTGCATTTCATTTGTTTTATTCAAGAGTGCATAAACTTCCCTATCATTCACAAATCACTGTTAGTTGAGTGAAGCATCAGTCCGTGGAACCAGGCACAATACACTCTTTGGAACCTACTTTATGGTTTGAATAAAACTGCAAGCGCTGGGCCATTATTTCATAACATTTCCAGTACGATTTGCGCAGGTGAGAGGGTAAAAACTGCGTATGGTTTGTAAGAAATATGATGGGCTGCCTCTACTGTAGCGAATCGAACCAGCGTCTGTAGCATCACTTGTTACGTAAAGCGCATTTAATGAACTACACATTGGTCATCTTAAACAGTAGATGATGTTACAGAAACAACTAATTTGTATTACCTTCACGGACAGGAACTGCATTACTTTGTCTGGATGAAGTCAAAACAAAAATAGAGAGATTGTTCACGCCCTCTTCTATGGCTTCAGATTTATAAGGTATTCACCGCTACCTAGCTAAAGAAATCGGGTGAATGACAGCTGTTACCATTCAGTTCCCATGTTCCGTATTATGTCAAGCGTAACACAGACAACCAAGTAGTTTTGTGATCCGGGTAGAAACTCACAACATAGACGTCACTATTGTCGGTTAGTGGCTACCTCTAGCAGCGTCACCACTAAAGAACAAGAAGAAACGTCTGCTATTTATCCTTCAAGACCGACAGTACTAAACACACTCAGACTGTTTGTGATCTTTGTTCGTTTCTATTTATCCTTACTATTATTGGCCTCCTAGGAACCTTCTTCGAATTTTAACCCAGAAATAAACGCTTTTTTATTGTTAATAAGTCATTTTGCTCGTGCCCATAATTTGTCATGTTTCATGCATTTTAGGATGAGATAAGTCCATGTATCATCTCTTCGGCAATCCTTTGGTACAAGCGCAGATCGTCGACACTAGTAGATAAGATTCTTCTCCACGCCTTATCTCCTAAGCCTGCGGCTATCAAGTCACAAAAAAACAATGACCTATTTCCTGCTGCAGTCTAATTTACATACCAACAAATGAAGGTTTCAGGATGTCTTCAAAGTATAAAGTTTTATTTTTTGTTCGTCTGACTATTGCCGGTTTCCTATCTAAAGAAGTGTCAAGTTAATCTTCCTTTCCTCAGACGTTCACTGAATTGGTTGGTCAGAGGCTGTTCTTAAGTACAGTCTATCCGCACCTCGTAGCTCATTACATTCAGTGAAATAAGTCGATAATGGTACATTAAAATGTCATTTGTTTAGTCTTGTTCATAATATTTATGTCTTGCAGGGGTCTGCGCAGTTTAACACATTTATCTACTACGGTCCATTCGAGTTTCAAAAAGTTGTCGAGAACAGCAATATCTCTGAGTAGCTTTATTTCTCACAAACTTGTTCACTACAAACGTACAAAACTGCCTAAAATAGATCAGGTTACATGGCTGTTCAAACTGATTATAAAGTATCAGACTGCACTTCAAACAACCATTCAGTTCGATCTTCTTATCACTAACCGTACATTTAGATTGCAGTGCCCCGTACTGTCAAAACTGTAGACCCTTCTTTGAACGCAGATATTTTAACCAACGTCTCCCCTCTAGACCGGCTCTGTAAGCTCTTTACACAACCTTTAGCTGCATTTTGGAATTTGTGAAGTCCATTGTTTCAACAGACCCACTGGCTTTCAATTTTTTTCCCGATATTTTCTCTAACTACCTGATCCCAAATGATTCGTCATCATTAGTCGTCATCAACCCTGTGGAGAAGAGCTTAGCAGCTTAACTGCGCCAGCCGATTATCCGAGCAACATGTGTTTATATGAGGTATATTTTCATTGATTTGTTTCAGAGATACACTACTCACTAGCCCGATACCACCAGTGTCAAAGGTGGAAATAACGGATGATAGATCTCCGTGGTTCTGCGTAGCAAATCCCGTAATCTTGTTGAATAAAATACCTGACGGTGAAACAGCCCATGCAAACGTTTGCAACTTATCGAAATCCACTTTTTGGTGGCACGACGGGTTCAGGATAAACACGATTTACCTGGATTTCTTCATCATTCATATCTTCCCCAAGAAGTTTTGCTGCTCGTTTCAAATCGTCAAAGTTTATAGTACCAGTGTTGTCCTTGTCCATGATTCTAAATGCTTTGACCAAGTCCTCGTTGGGATCTCTCTCGGTCATCTTCTTTGTCATTAGCTCAAGGAAACTTTTGAACTCAAGCACACCTGTAAGAATTAAGTGGGATTTAGCCAATGCGGATATGTACCTTTATTCTCTTTGTCATAAAGTAACATCATCTGACGTAACTCTGATGCTGATGGATCGAATCCAAGTGCTCTCAGAGCGACACTAATTTCCCGTATTCCGATCAACCCAGTTCCCTCCGCATCCAGCATATTAAAGGCTTCAAGAAGATCATCCTTCTGCGTTTTGGAGAGCTCCAAGTGAATGGCACTTGCAGTTTTATTCTTTTCTCTTGTTGTTTTGGAATGCTTGCTTTTCTGCACCAAATGACTAGATGAAAGAACACCTACCTCCATATTTCGAAGTGAATTGACAAATGGTTTAGTTGAAGATGGAGACTAGATTTTTTCTTCAGTTTGAACAAAGATGCAAAACTATCTACAGATTAAGGTTAATAAAATTAGATCAGTGATCTAGCACATAATCGAACGGGTGCATCGTGCGCAATGTTTGGCAACACGTCACTGAAATACTTTGAAGGTTAGCGTTACACCTTTTTGATAACTGATGCTTCATCGTCAGCCGCAAAATTCGAGCTAACATGAATAGTTGACATAGATATGTTGTGAGAGCTCACGCTGACTAATTCACCTAACATTTAGTGGTATATCTCGCCAGCTGTGCTCCGTTACTCAAGTGTCTGCCTTCAGTGTGAATGCCTATAGCTGAATCGCCTCTCTTTTACTGTCTTTGTTCTGTTGTTTCATTTCTTTGGGCTTTCTTCACTCTAATCGACTTGGTTTCAGATAAACACTACATAACAAAGGGAGCGCATGGTGCTTACTTTTCTTTTAAATGGAACAACTTATTTAGGAATATTCCTTGGTGCTTAGTTTCTAGATTTCACTTAGTACTTAAAAAATTGATTCTAGCATACTTCGATTTGAGGAGTATTGTTTCTCTTGAGGAAGTATGGGTGCTTACTTTTAAATTAAACGGAACAACTTATTTAGGAATATTCCTTGGTGCTTAGTTTCTAGATTTCACTTAGTACTTAAAAAATTGATTCTAGCATACTTCGATTTGAGGAGTATTGTTTCTCTTGAGGAAGTATGTGGCGACACTTTCGCGTACATGCGTAGAGCGAGTTCATTAGGCTTATAGTAAAAGCATCCAAGTGCTTGGTACTTACCATCATTTTGATAATTCGTCAGGTGCTGCCTAAAGCGCTACCACTCATCTCAAGTGAATGACTGAGAAGGTACCGATCTCTGTGACTAACGTATCATCCGTTTTAACAAACCAGAACTTTAAAGAGCTCGGAATGATTGAATTTTCTTCACAACGGAAAAATTTTACATTGGATCCCATAATTCTTGACGGCACAATTTCTATGTTTGCCAGAACGACTACCGTTGGAAATCCCTGGTACCAGAAATATTATGCTGGTCCCCAACTTCTTTTGAGTTTGGTGCGCTGTAAAAATTGTTTCTACTCTACAAGATTTGAGGCTGGTATCATCAGAAAACGGCTTAATTTTGTGTTGCAAGCTACCTTGTAACATCCCCGCTACGTCAGATCTATCCATATAATCTCGGTGGATACAGATATTATATCTTATGGAGCTCCAAGCCGATGGCGAACAAGTATGTTCCGGAAATCCCTGCCATCGTTGTAAATTACGGGGGCGTGGTGGTTGGTTGAGAACAAGTATGTCCGGAAATCCCTGCCATCGTTGTAAATTACGGGGGCGTGGTGGTTGGTTGAGAGCTCTCCAGTTAGCTGCCAAAACACGTACGTCCAAGGTGCTTGCGTTGAATCAGCTTCTTGGTTGTCGAGCCATCACTTAATTTAAGGAAAAACTACTCCATTCCTGCCCGTCTCCACTCATCGACCTCATAAACTGAAAAATTCCCCTGCAGTATAAAGTTAACTGCGTGTCTCGCTAACACATGATTCGTCGCTTCCACTGCAAAATATTTTGCGTCATTTCTATACAGTCAGTGGTTGTTGTTTCGTATTTATATATTCTCAGTTGTTTAACACCTCTGATTTTGAATACTGATAGTATGCTTAAGCCTGCATTTATTTTACATTTTGCCCTCTCAAAACTCAATGATATGTCGTTGTGTCGAATGGAAATTTTTGGTAGTACAAAGGCTACAGATACAAGCCTGCCACAAATATTCTATAAGTGTGTCTGGTGGTAAACCCCAAATTCCAACTACGTCCAACTCACTGATTCAGTCAGTTGGGAGATGGAATAGGACCCAACAATTAATCTGACCTACAAGCACTTTCCAAGGTGAATTTTGAACGAACTGTTTCTTATAGAACAATAATCACTTTGCTCTCTACGCCTAATAAATAGTGTCTAGGCTAGTTCTGCGGAAGAGAAAGATGATCATGCAATATTTGTCTTCATCTCTCAAATGCAATATACCTTCCATTGCGCCTGTAAATATGTCACTTTATTGCTGCTTGACCTCTCCTGGCTCGTGATCGTGCGAAGAGAGCCCTCTGAGGAGGTCGATCGACTCGCATGTGGAGCATGTAACCAAGCCGGCGAAGCGTACGGAGTGTGCTCAATTCATCTGCTTTGAGTGGGTTATTTTCCCTGGAAGCTTTAGGCGTCATTCAGTATTACTGATTCGGTGTTACCGCCAGCCTCCAGAAATGCTCCGAAGAGAATGATGGTCAGAAACTGAAGGTGCGCAGCGCCCGTGCTTTAGACTCATATAATCATATAGATTGCTAAGATCAGTGGAAACTGTCTTCCTCGGATGAGATAATATCACGCTTTATCACAGGTGATGAAGGTTCATGCAAGCTGTTCTATATTTCCTAATCCACCGGAAATGTCATCTTTCGTGAGACCACCGAGACTCGTAGAGCTGACAAGTTAGAAGAATTTGTCTACTCCCTTAATAGGCTTATCCGCAAGCACTAGGTTAAGTTTCGAAATCACTCAGTCTTGGGACAGCACTTTATACTTTGCAGGGAGGCAGAGTTATTCAGACGAGTTAACGTTGAGTCTTGCATGCAAGACACTAATCCTTCTATTCTTTTTGCATCCTCGGTCGGATAAGAAAAAAGTTAACTTTTGGTCTCATGCTGGGCTTCAGATTAAACGTTTTTGTTTTATACTTATGTGCGTAACTGGTGAGTGACAATGTATTTCATGACTGTGAATACAACCGGAAGGAATGATCTGTGGTTAAGAGGATTGCCTTTTATATAGGGCACGGCGATGCACAGCGACGCTGAAAATTTTCAGCCCGTTACAAACTTCGCAGGGACACGCGGAACCTGCCAGCGAGAAAATCAGGCATTCCAAAGCTAAGTTTGACAAGAACTATGGCATTGTGGCGAAAGGTTTTTTATTTGTGGTCAGCTGCTGCAGATATTCAGATAATCTGATGACGACGTAAATATGCATGGTATCGGTTCCTACAGTTGGCTGCATAAGGCATCAGCTCCATCTGCCAATGGCATCAGCTGAAAAAGCGCATACTTGCCGCACAGTGGCTAAGACTGCCACAGTTTCTTTCGCTGATGGTTTTGAGAGGGGGTGAACAAACTCGCCATGCAGGCCGTAGCTAGTGAAATTGATGTAAAAATACGGTGGGAGAAGTGAACTTTTCATTGAGGGGATGAGAAGTCTTCGACTGTTGTACGTCAATCTGGTGGGTATTTCATGCAGAGTTTTTCTGAGTTTTTTAAAAAATCTTTAGGAAACATTTTGGTTTGTGCTTAATTTAAGCAACCTGTTTAGCCCGCCGGATGTTCATGTCATCCGAACCAGATATATATAACTGTTTCCTAATCCCACATTTTTAGCCCAAGTCGACTCGCACGGTCCTGATTTATACGGTCATAAATCTTGATTCCGTTTGCTGGTCAACTCATTTTCTGTATTTCATAATGTGGTCTTCCGCCCAGGTAATAGGAGCCACACACAGGTCAACAAGCTGTTTAAACTTGTAAATTTGGTGAAGGCTTCCTGTGCTCCGTCCGTGATGGGATGCCGAAAAAACTCGAGATTTCGGAGTTTACCGTAAAATTGTACGATGAGGAATATCACCACAGCTTTTCGATTTTGCATTTTTGTGACGTATGAGGAATTCATGAAAGGCTCCGTAGTATTTCAACAACAAATAGAAACTTAATTTGGTTCACACCCACTGCAACAGCGTTTTTGACTGTTTGGTCCAGTCGCACTCCGTCTTTGCCCAAGGTGTAAAGTTTTTTTCAACATCGTTTCAGTGTAATATTATGTTGTATTTTTCCCTTCAGATACTCTAGCACATATGGGATTCAGGCGAAAGCCATAGTAATATAACTGTCTCTGTTCAACTCCAGTTGTTCCTTAATTTTAGATGACAGAAGGAGTGAAGGAAAAGGACAGCCGCACTAGTTTCGTTAATAGAAAAGTTGTAGCCACCTTTCAGATGCCTCAAGTAGTTATCATAAATTGCCATTTCGTGCAAACTAGTTGCAAGTTTCCGCAACGACACAAACGGATTTATTTATTTCTAGTGCGTTTGTGTCCTTACGACAACGACCTTGAGTATATCATCCGAGAACCATTTAAAAAGTCATGGATTCACGGGTTGATACATGGAATCGACGCTTTTGCCCATGTTTTCGAGGGTCGCTTTTGTTTCTGTCGTTCATCTGAAAGGCACAAATGAAAGAAGGGTGTAGCTCTGCCCTTTAATTTCTCAGCGCGGTGCAATAGGCTTGCGGGCGCGAGGACTCGCATAAACAAACGTCTATTAGTACTCTGAACTGGGTACTAGATGGAGCGGAGACAATCGCTGGAAGAGGGTTATTCCTCGTAGTAACTACCTGAAAGGGAAAAAGTTGGCCCAATAAAAATATGCACTCCGAGCTTTAACATCTCACTATGTCCCCTGCCCATGTGTTAGCCAGGTCAACGGTCAAAAGCGGTTGTCAAAACCTTCTTCAAACAGGACATAAATATGCATTAGGTTACCACTGAGACAGATGTATTTCAGGGGGGAGAGATGGAGGAGAATAAAACGCGTTTCATAAACCACGGACTTAAGGTCAAAAGCAATTTTCGCAGCAGCAACTCGGGGAAGATTATGTCCGTCTTGCGTCCCGAGTAGATAATTGGGTTGGCATATTCAAGAAGCGATCTGACGTGGGCCCCAAAGAGTATTTGTGAGTTCATTCGAGCAATACCAGAGAAGGTGCGCAGAACCATCCGTAGAGCGACGAAAACCTTTTGAACCGAATTCTCATGGTTAGTGAGAAGGACATGTTTGAAGAGAGTCAGACACCCAAATCCTTTTTGACATCTATCCCCGTGATGCCTTTTGCTTCGTTC